AAAGAGGTGTTGGTTGGCTCTACAAACAGGAAAAGAGGTGTTGGTTGGCTCTACAAACAGGAAAAGAGGTGCTGGTTGGCTCTACAAACAGGAAAAGAGGTGCTGGATGGCTCTACAAACAGGAAAAGAGGTGCTGGTTGGCTCTACAAACAGGAAAAGAGGTGCTGGTTGGCTGTACAAACAGGAAAAGAGGTGCTGGTTGGCTCTACAAACAGGAAAAGAGGTGCTGGTTGGCTCTACAAACAGGAAAAGAGGTGTTGGTTGGCTCTACAAACAGGAAAAGAGGTGCTGGTTGGCTCTACAAACAGGAAAAGAGGTGCTGGTTGGCTCTACAAACAGGAAAAGAGGTGCTGGTTGGCTCTACAAACAGGAAAAGAGGTGCTGGTTGGCTCTACAAACAGGAAAAGAGGTGCTGGTTGGCTCTACAAACAGGAAAAGAGGTGCTGGTTGGCTCTACAAACAGGAAAAGAGGTGCTGGTTGGCTCTACAAACAGGAAAAGAGGTGTTGGTTGGCTCTACAAACAGGAAAAGAGGTGCTGGTTGGCTCTACAAACAGGAAAAGAGGTGTTAATTGGCTCTACAAACAGGAAAAGAGGTGTTGGTTGGCTCTACAAACAGGAAAAGAGGTGCTGGTTGGCTCTACAAACAGGAAAAGAGGTGCTGGTTGGCTCTACAAACAGGAAAAGAGGTGCTGGTTGGCTCTACAAACAGGAAAAGAGGTGTTGGTTGGCTCTACAAACAGGAAAAGAGGTGCTGGTTGGCTCTACAAACAGGAAAAGAGGTGTTGGTTGGCTCTACAAACAGGAAAAGAGGTGTTGGTTGGCTCTACAAACAGGAAAAGAGGTGCTGGTTGGCTCTACAAACAGGAAAAGAGGTGTTGGTTGGCTCTACAAACAGGAAAAGAGGTGCTGGTTGGCTCTACAAACAGGAAAAGAGGTGCTGGTTGGCTCTACAAACAGGAAAAGAGGTGCTGGTTGGCTCTACAAACAGGAAAAGAGGTGTTGGTTGGCTCTACAAACAGGAAAAGAGGTGTTGGTTGGCTCTACAAACAGGAAAAGAGGTGTTGGTTGGCTCTACAAACAGGAAAAGAGGTGTTGGTTGGCTCTACAAACAGGAAAAGAGGTGCTGGTTGGCTCTACAAACAGGAAAAGAGGTGTTGGTTGGCTCTACAAACAGGAAAAGAGGTGTTGGTTGGCTCTACAAACAGGAAAAGAGGTGCTGGTTGGCTCTACAAACAGGAAAAGAGGTGTTGGTTGGCTCTACAAACAGGAAAAGAGGTGCTGGTTGGCTCTACAAACAGGAAAAGAGGTGTTGGTTGGCTCTACAAACAGGAAAAGAGGTGTTGGTTGGCTCTACAAACAGGAAAAGAGGTGTTGGTTGGCTCTACAAACAGGAAAAGAGGTGTTGGTTGGCTCTACAAACAGGAAAAGAGGTGCTGGTTGGCTCTACAAACAGGAAAAGAGGTGTTGGTTGGCTCTACAAACAGGAAAAGAGGTGTTGGTTGGCTCTACAAACAGGAAAAGAGGTGCTGGTTGGCTCTACAAACAGGAAAAGAGGTGTTGGTTGGCTCTACAAACAGGAAAAGAGGTGCTGGTTGGCTCTACAAACAGGAAAAGAGGTGTTGGTTGGCTCTACAAACAGGAAAAGAGGTGTTGGTTGGCTCTACAAACAGGAAAAGAGGTGCTGGTTGGCTCTACAAACAGGAAAAGAGGTGCTGGTTTGCTCTACAAACAGGAAAAGAGGTGCTGGTTGGCTCTACAAACAGGAAAAGAGGTGTTGGTTGGCTCTACAAACAGGAAAAGAGGTGCTGGTTGGCTCTACAAACAGGAAAAGAGGTGTTGGTTGGCTCTACAAACAGGAAAAGAGGTGTTGGTTGGCTCTACAAACAGGAAAAGAGGTGCTGGTTGGCTCTACAAACAGGAAAAGAGGTGCTGGTTGGCTCTACAAACAGGAAAAGAGGTGCTGGTTGGCTCTACAAACAGGAAAAGAGGTGTTGGTTGGCTCTACAAACAGGAAAAGAGGTGCTGGTTGGCTCTACAAACAGGAAAAGAGGTGTTGGTTGGCTCTACAAACAGGAAAAGAGGTGTTGGTTGGCTCTACAAACAGGAAAAGAGGTGCTGGTTGGCTCTACAAACAGGAAAAGAGGTGCTGGTTGGCTCTACAAACAGGAAAAGAGGTGTTGGTTGGCTCTACAAACAGGAAAAGAGGTGTTGGTTGGCTCTACAAACAGGAAAAGAGGTGTTGGTTGGCTCTACAAACAGGAAAAGAGGTGTTGGTTGGCTCTACAAACAGGAAAAGAGGTGCTGGTTGGCTCTACAAACAGGAAAAGAGGTGTTGGTTGGCTCTACAAACAGGAAAAGAGGTGTTGGTTGGCTCTACAAACAGGAAAAGAGGTGCTGGTTGGCTCTACAAACAGGAAAAGAGGTGTTGGTTGGCTCTACAAACAGGAAAAGAGGTGCTGGTTGGCTCTACAAACAGGAAAAGAGGTGTTGGTTGGCTCTACAAACAGGAAAAGAGGTGTTGGTTGGCTCTACAAACAGGAAAAGAGGTGCTGGTTGGCTCTACAAACAGGAAAAGAGGTGCTGGTTTGCTCTACAAACAGGAAAAGAGGTGCTGGTTGGCTCTACAAACAGGAAAAGAGGTGTTGGTTGGCTCTACAAACAGGAAAAGAGGTGCTGGTTGGCTCTACAAACAGGAAAAGAGGTGTTGGTTGGCTCTACAAACAGGAAAAGAGGTGTTGGTTGGCTCTACAAACAGGAAAAGAGGTGCTGGTTGGCTCTACAAACAGGAAAAGAGGTGTTGGTTGGCTCTACAAACAGGAAAAGAGGTGCTGGTTGGCTCTACAAACAGGAAAAGAGGTGTTGGTTGGCTCTACAAACAGGAAAAGAGGTGTTGGTTGGCTCTACAAACAGGAAAAGAGGTGTTGGTTGGCTCTACAAACAGGAAAAGAGGTGTTGGTTGGCTCTACAAACAGGAAAAGAGGTGTTGGTTGGCTCTACAAACAGGAAAAGAGGTGCTGGTTGGCTCTACAAACAGGAAAAGAGGTGTTGGTTGGCTCTACAAACAGGAAAAGAGGTGTTGGTTGGCTCTACAAACAGGAAAAGAGGTGTTGGTTGGCTCTACAAACAGGAAAAGAGGTGTTGGTTGGCTCTACAAACAGGAAAAGAGGTGCTGGTTGGCTCTACAAACAGGAAAAGAGGTGGTGGTTGGCTCTACAAACAGGAAAAGAGGTGCTGGTTGGCTCTACAAACAGGAAAAGAGGTGTTGGTTGGCTCTACAAACAGGAAAAGAGGTGTTGGTTGGCTCTACAAACAGGAAAAGAGGTGTTGGTTGGCTCTACAAACAGGAAAAGAGGTGCTGGTTGGCTCTACAAACAGGAAAAGAGGTGCTGGTTGGCTCTACAAACAGGAAAAGAGGTGCTGGTTGGCTCTACAAACAGGAAAAGAGGTGCTGGTTGGCTCTACAAACAGGAAAAGAGGTGCTGGTTGGCTCTACAAACAGGAAAAGAGGTGCTGGTTGGCTCTACAAACAGGAAAAGAGGTGCTGGTTGGCTCTACAAACAGGAAAAGAGGTGCTGGTTGGCTCTACAAACAGGAAAAGAGGTGCTGGTTGGCTCTACAAACAGGAAAAGAGGTGCTGGTTGGCTCTACAAACAGGAAAAGAGGTGCTGGTTGGCTCTACAAACAGGAAAAGAGGTGCTGGTTGGCTCTACAAACAGGAAAAGAGGTGCTGGTTGGCTCTACAAACAGGAAAAGAGGTGCTGGTTGGCTCTACAAACAGGAAAAGAGGTGCTGGTTGGCTCTACAAACAGGAAAAGAGGTGCTGGTTGGCTCTACAAACAGGAAAAGAGGTGCTGGTTGGCTCTACAAACAGGAAAAGAGGTGCTGGTTGGCTCTACAAACAGGAAAAGAGGTGCTGGTTGGCTCTACAAACAGGAAAAGAGGTGCTGGTTGGCTCTACAAACAGGAAAAGAGGTGCTGGTTGGCTCTACAAACAGGAAAAGAGGTGCTGGTTGGCTCTACAAACAGGAAAAGAGGTGCTGGTTGGCTCTACAAACAGGAAAAGAGGTGCTGGTTGGCTCTACAAACAGGAAAAGAGGTGCTGGTTGGCTCTACAAACAGGAAAAGAGGTGCTGGTTGGCTCTACAAACAGGAAAAGAGGTGCTGGTTGGCTCTACAAACAGGAAAAGAGGTGCTGGTTGGCTCTACAAACAGGAAAAGAGGTGCTGGTTGGCTCTACAAACAGGAAAAGAGGTGCTGGTTGGCTCTACAAACAGGAAAAGAGGTGCTGGTTGGCTCTACAAACAGGAAAAGAGGTGCTGGTTGGCTCTACAAACAGGAAAAGAGGTGCTGGTTGGCTCTACAAACAGGAAAAGAGGTGCTGGTTGGCTCTACAAACAGGAAAAGAGGTGCTGGTTGGCTCTACAAACAGGAAAAGAGGTGCTGGTTGGCTCTACAAACAGGAAAAGAGGTGCTGGTTGGCTCTACAAACAGGAAAAGAGGTGCTGGTTGGCTCTACAAACAGGAAAAGAGGTGCTGGTTGGCTCTACAAACAGGAAAAGAGGTGCTGGTTGGCTCTACAAACAGGAAAAGAGGTGCTGGTTGGCTCTACAAACAGGAAAAGAGGTGCTGGTTGGCTCTACAAACAGGAAAAGAGGTGTTGGTTGGCTCTACAAACAGGAAAAGAGGTGCTGGTTGGCTCTACAAACAGGAAAAGAGGTGTTGGTTGGCTCTACAAACAGGAAAAGAGGTGTTGGTTGGCTCTACAAACAGGCGCTTCTCGCACTCGTGGCATGGTGGCACAAGGAACCTTAGGTACTGCAAAGCACTGCAATCCACTCCACCGCACTCCACTCCACTGCACTGCACTGAGCAGTTAACCACGCACCTCCTCTGCTGGTTCTGCCAGGGCATTGACAAAAAACTTGGCCTGCAAATGGGAAGGGGGTTGCACTGCACCGCACTACACCTCGATGCATCGCACTAAACCTACGAACATACCTCCTCTGCTGGCTCTGCCAGGGCATTGATGAAAAACTTGGCCTGCATAAACAAACAGATTCATATTGGGAAGAGGGGGAAAACAGGGAGGCAGGCAAATCTCCAAGGAGATTGGATTGGAGGCGCCTCAAAGTATTACTTCCCGTGTCGACATCAAGACTCTTATCCAGAGAGTTACAACTAGAACTACATTACAAGAGAATGATTTTCCAGTGGCTACATCATCACACCAATCTGGAGAGATACACTTAGCAAATCATCTTAATCAAAGGCATATCATATCACCGTCCATCCTTCCTTTCCATCCTCGCATCAACTGCGGTGTGTTGGGGCCTGCCATAAGCAGGTCTGTGGTCACCAGCACTACTACAGCTACTGCCGTCCCAGTGCAGTGCAAATACCACCCACTACTGGCACCAGCACCAGGGATACGGAGCACTTGAACAGCAGTAGCTGTACTGGCACCAGCACCAGGGAAGGGATACGGAGCACTTGAACAGCAGTAGCTGTACTGGCACCAGCACCAGGGAAGGGATACGGAGCACTTGAACAGCAGTAGCTGTACTGGCACCAGCACCAGGGAAGGGATACGGAGCACTTGAACAGCAGTAGCTGTACTGGCACCAGCGCCAGGGAAGGGATACGGAGCACTTGAACAGCAGTAGCTGTACTGGCACCAGCACCAGGGAAGGGATACGGAGCACTTGAACAGCAGTAGCTGTACTGGCACCAGCACCAGGGAAGGGATACGGAGCACTTGAACAGCAGTAGTTGTACTGGCACCAGCACCAGGGAAGGGATACGGAGCACTTGAACAGCAGTAGCTGTACTGGCACCAGCACCAGGGAAGGGATACGGAGCACTTGAACAGCAGTAGCTGTACTGGCACCAGCACCAGGGAAGGGATACGGAGCACTTGAACAGCAGTAGCTGTACTGGCACCAGCACCAGGGAAGGGATACGGAGCACTTGAACAGCAGTAGCTGTACTGGCACCAGCACCAGGGAAGGGATACGGAGCACTGACCCCTTGTGTAGTGAGTCGACAAAAAAATCAGCACCAGGGATACAGAGCACTGACTGACCCCTTCTCCTCATCTCTCCCCCCTCTCTAACCTGAGGAGTGTTGGCGCCGGACATGAGCAGGTCAGTGGTCACCATGCCGGGCTGATGGGATGAGGTGAAGGGGAGAAACGGGGGTGAAGGGGAGAGGGAGCGAATGAAAAAGGAAGAAAGAACACAGTGTTGGCGGGGGTGCTTCAGTGCCTGCAGTGTTGGGCGCCGGACATGAGCAGGTCAGTGGTCACCATGCCGGGCTGATGGGATGGGGAGGGAGGAGGGGGCGAGGAGGAGAATGCAGGGTGCATGAGTGCCTGCAGTGTTGGCGGGGGACATGAGCAGGTCAGTGGTCACCATGCCGGGCTGATGGGATGATGGAAAGGGGGACAGGAAGCAGGAGAGGGATTCAAGACAAAAGAAAAGGACGCACTGTGCCTCAGCGCGTGAGAGTGTTGGAGCCTGCCTGCCGTGAGTAGGGCTGTGGTCACCATGCCGGGCTGATGGGATGGACGGGAAGGGGGTGAAGAGGAGAGGGAAGGGTTGGAAAGAAAGAATGCAGGGCACATGAGTGCATGGAGTGTTGGCGCCTGCCGTGAGCAGGGCTGTGGTCACCATGCCGGGCTGATGGGATGGACGGGAAGGGGGAGAGGAGGATGGAAAGGGGGAAGGTGTGCGTGTGTGTGCTTGTGTGCGTGCATGTGTGTGACTGAATGAGAGGTTGTGCACGACAACGTGGGGGAGTCTGAGCATCTGCAGCTCCGCCTGCAGTGTAGAGAGGGTGAACTGTGGCCTGTAGTGTAGAGAGGGTGTTTTTGAGACGTCTCAAAAACACCCTCTCTACACGTTGGGGAGTCTGAGCATCTTCAGCTCCGCTTGCAGTGACTGCTGGGTGAACTGTGTCCATGGAGTGGTGTGGGTTCTTAGTTGCAGCTCCGCTTGCAGTGACCATGGAGCAGTGATGCAGCGGTGCTGCAACTAAGAAGAACCCACACCCTACATAGGGTCACAAGTACACATCCCACCAACAGGGACTCACCGACAGGTTGTGCACAACCAACCACAAGGCTCACCGACAGGTTGTGCACAACCAACCACAAGGCTCACCGACAGGTTGTGCACAACCAACCACAAGGCTCACCGACAGGTTGTGCACAACCAACCACAAGGCTCACCGACAGGTTGTGCACAACCAACCACAAGGCTCACCGACAGGTTGTGCACAACCAACCACAAGGCTCACCGACAGGTTGTGCACAACCAACCACAAGGCTCACCGACAGGTTGTGCACAACCAACCACAAGGCTCACCGACAGGTTGTGCACAACCAACCACAAGGCTCACCGACAGGTTGTGCACAACGACGTTGGGGACTTTAAGCATCTTCAGCTCCGCCTGCAGTGACTTGGTGAACTGCGCCAGGCTGCGCTTGGTGGCTCCGTAGGCTGCGAAGCTGGTAGGGAGGAGAAGAGGAGGGGCAACAGAGGGTAGATGGACAAGGAGCAGGGTAAGCAAGGGGAGGGTGTGTCTCTGCCTGCAGTGACTTGGTGAACTGCGCCAGGCTGCGCTTGGTGGCTCCGTAGGCTGCGAAGCTGGTGGCGGGAGTAAGCCGAAAGGAGGAAAGGTAGAAGAGGAATAGGTGAAGGTACATCTTCAGCTCTGCTTGGAGTTGACTTGGTGAACTGCGGTACGCAGTGCGTGGTTGCTCCGTAGGCTGCAAAGCTGATAGAGGGAAGGGATCGTAGAGAGGGAACAGGAAGGCCGACAATGGGGCTTGGAGTTGACTTGGTGAACTGCGCCAGGCTGCGCTTGGTGGTAAGCAAATGTGATCCCCTCCGGGCTGCTCCCTCATGAGGCTAATTCAGAGCACGGAGTGTGTGCGACACAGATGCATTTTGAGACGTCTCAAAAACATGAGGCTAATTCAGAGCACGGTCCTGCGCGACACAGATGCAGCACTGACTCTGCTTCACACTACTGAGCAACCCATACAAATATACTCACCGGGGGGTGGCATTGCCGTCGGCCCCAGCCCCATCCATGTTGAATATGTGGCCCCCTCCGGGTTGGTCCCTCATGAGGCGCATGGTGTGTGTGTGATAGAGATGTAGGGCTGCTTCACAGTGCAGGGAGTTGACTTTTGAGTCGACTCAAAAGTCAACTTGATACAGATGTAGGGCTGCTTCACAGTGCAGGGAGTTGACTTTTGAGTCGACTCAAAAGTCAACTTGATACAGATGTAGGACTGCTTCACAGTGCAGGGAGTTGACTTTTGAGTCGACTCAAAAGTCAACTTGATACAGATGTAGGACTGCTTCACAGTGCAGGGAGTTGACTTTTGAGTCGACTCAAAAGTCAACTTGATACAGATGTAGGGCTGCTTCACAGTGCAGGGCAGACAGAGCAGCACATGCACTCACCGCGGGGTGGCATTCCCATCAGCCCCAGCCCCGTCCATGTTGAAAATGTGTCCCCCTCCAGGCTGGTCCCGCATGAGGCGCATGGCCTGGCGGCAGCACAGCATCACGCCCAACACATTGGTTCGCACGATCTCCCTGTTAAAAGGGGGGAGGGGATAGGATGGAGGAGAGAGGAGGACGGGCAAGGTATGAGCAGGAGACTGCAAGTAGCCCCCCACCCCACCGGGTTGATCCCTCATGAGGCGCATGGCCTGGCGGCAGCACAGCATGACGCCCAGCACGTTGGTTCGCACTATTTCCCTGTGTAGGGGAGGGTTAGGGGATGGGTGGTCGGAGGGGACGGGGGAAGGGGAATGGCAGTGCGGGGTACTGAGCTGCTCCCTCATGAGTCGCATGGCCTGGCGGCAGCACAGCATGACAGCAACAGTGCGTTGGTTTGCACGATCTCCCTGTGGAAGAAAAGAGAAAGACGGGGACAGCAGAGGCAGCAGAGTCAACAGAGTCAGCATACGTGTTGGTGCCTAAACAACCGCACTTACCGTTCCCTCTCCCGCTTTCTCCTGAGCTCCTCCTGCTCCGAGGTGACTTTTGAGTCGACTCAAAAGTCTTCTCCTGCGCTCCTCCTGCTCCCTGCCTGTGTGCGCTCACTCAACGTTTTGAGACGTGTCAAAACAAGCTCTCTCTCTCTTTCTCCCCCTTTCTTTCTTTCTGTGTTCCCGATCCCTCCCTGCAGTACTAATATTCTTTCCCATCATATTTCTGTGTTCCCGATCCCTCCCTGCAGTACTAATATTCTTTCCCATCATATTTCTGTGTTCCCGATCCCTCCCTGCAGTACTAATATTCTTTCCCATCATATTTCTGTGTTCCTGATCCCTCCCTGCAGATCTGAGTGGAGAAATGTTTTGAGACGTCTCAAAACACTTTATTTCTGTGTTCCCGATCCCTCCCTGCAGATTCACTCACTCTCAAGCCGCATCGCCCGCCACCACCAAAGGAGCGTACTCACACACGTTGAACAGCCCTATGAATACACACGTTGGGTTGGACCGACAGCCCAATGAACCTCTCTTCTTGCACTTACTCACTATATGGCTGTTCCCTGATCTTCCCCACTCACTCTACACCCTCTCCCGTCTCCACTCACGGAGCGCGCTCATATGCGTTGGAGCCTGCATGAGCCTGTCTCTACCAAAGGGGCGCACTCACACGCATTGGACAGCCCTATGAACCGCACTTCCCCTGCCCTCCTGGTGACTTTTGAGTCGATTCAAAAGACAGCCCTATGAAACGCACTTGCCCTGCCCTCCTTGGCTTCATTTCATCCCATCAGTTCTCAATACCCATCCTTCCCTCCTCCCACTCACTCTAAGGCCGCATCTCCCGCCTCCACCAAAGGAGCATACTCGTACGCGTTGGAGCCTGCACCTCACATCACATCCCCTCCCCTCCTCCCTCTGTGGCTATCCCACACTCCCGGTGCTCACTCACTCGATAGCCGCATCCCCTGCCTCCACCAAAGGAGCGTACTCGTACGCGTTGGGAGCCCTAATCATGGGGAAGCACTATGTTAGGCATTTTGCCGTTCCCTCACTGCTTGCGCTCTCTCACTCTAAAGCGGCATCCCTTGCCTCCACTAGGGGGGGGTACTCCTACGCGTTGGAGCCTGCATGATTCTACCTCCCACTCCCTCTCCCCTAATCTCCCCTCACTTGAAGGCTATCCCACACTCCCTGTGCTCACTCACTCTAAAGCAGCATCTCCCGCCTCCACTAAGGGGGCGTACTCATATGCGTTGGAGCCTGATGCACCACAGGCATGCCCCATGCCCACTCCCACTCTTCTCTACTCTCCCTGTGCTCACTCACTCTATGGCTGCATCTCCCGCCTCCACCAGGGGGGCGTACTCATACGCGTTGGAGCCTCGTGAACCTCCCCTCCCGTTCCCCTGTGTCACTCTAATCCCTCCTCTCACTCACTCTAAGGCCGCATCTCCCGCCTCCACCAAAGGAGCGTACTCATACGCGTTGGAGCCTGCATTGTTGATCTGCCATGCGCCCACCCATGCACACATGCACACGCGTGCATGCACACACACACACACACACACACACACACACACACACACACACACACACACACACACACACACACACACACACACACAGACACACACACACACACGCACACACACACGCACACACACACGCACACACACACGCACACACGCACACACGCACACACACACACACACACACGCACACACACACGCACACACACACGCACACACACACGCACACACGCACACACGCACACACACGCATGCACACACACAGACATACACGCGCGCGCACACGCACAGAAGCATGCAGGGAGAAGTTACATGAGCGCATGCAGGCAAGACAGAATGCATGCGTGCAGAGTGGACAGGAAAGGCTCCCACACAGACGATTTTTGAGGTGCATCAATAACACATGCGTGCACACACGCACACACACACAAGCATGCAGGGAGAAGTTACATGAGCGCATGCAGGTAAGACAGAATGCATGCGTGCAGAGTGGACAGGAAAGGCTCCCACACAGACGATTTTTGAGGTGCATCAATAACACATGCGTGCACACACGCACACACACACAAGCATGCAGGGAGAAGTTACATGAGCGCATGCAGGTAAGACAGAATGCATGCGTGCAGAGTGGACAGGAAAGGCTCCCACACAGACGATGTTTTAGGCGCCTAACTAATACATGCGTGGTGAGTATACAGGAGAGCCAGCTCCCAGGTCAACTCAGGTCAACTCAGGTCAGCGCAATTTATGTCAAGTCAACTCACCCACACATCCACGGATCCAAGTGATTTGAGATTAGTCAGATCGACTTGCGTCAACACGAGTCAACTTAGTCAACTCACCCACACATCCACGGATCCAAGTGATTTGACAGCAAATTCAGCCAGAGCCTTCACATCCTCTGCCTTAGATACATCGCATGCGGTGCCCTGGAGTGGGAAAGGGTGAAGTGGGGTGAGAATCGGTGGGATAGGGTTTAGTGCGTATGAGTTGTCTCAAAACTGGACTGACAGCAAGCAAGATCACCCAGCGCCTTCACACCCCCCGCCTTAGACACATCGCATGCGGTGCCCTGGAGTGGAGTGAGGTGGTGTGGGTTGGCGTGCGGTGGGGTAGGGTAGAGTGGGACCGGACGGGATGAGCAGCGGTGGAGGGGAAACACAGATGGCATCCCACAGAAAGGAACACGTTACAAGAGATGACTTTTGAGTCGACTCAAAAGTCACCTCGAAACACAGATGGTATGCGACAGAAAGGAACAAGCAACAAGAGGGAGAGGGTCAAGTGGGTCTGATGAGTTGACTGGACAGCAGAGTGAGCTTGACGTTGTCCTTTCTAAAGACATCGCATTCGGTGCTTTGGGTTAAGGAGGATGCTGACGGTTGAGAAAGGATGTGGTGGGGTGGGGTGGGGTGGGATGGGGTGGGAAGGAGTGGGGTAGGATAAGGGGGTGAAGGGGGGAAGTGATGGTACAGCACAGCACTACAGCGAGCTGAGGGAATTGAGGAATTCAATCGGGGAATTAACTGGCCGGATGATCTGACACACAATCCTCTCCACCACTCTCCACCACTCCCCACCACTCCCCACCCCACCACTCACCACCACGTTCTCTTTGCCAAACTCCTTCTGCAGTTGAGCAACCACATCGTCCGCCGTCTCCCCTGCTCAGTGCCTTTGGAGTGTACTCAGAAGTCTCCTCTCCCCTGCTCAGTGCCTTTGGAGTGTACTCAGAAGTCTCCTCTCCCCTGCTCAGTGCCTTTGGAGTGTACTCAGAAGTCTCCTCTCCCCTGCTCAGTGCCTTTGGAGTGTACTCAGAAGTCTCCTCTCCCCTGCTCAGTGCCTTTGGAGTGTACTCAGAAGTCTCCTCTCCCCTGCTCAGTGCCTTTGGAGTGTACTCAGAAGTCTCCTCTCCCCTGCTCAGTGCCTTTGGAGTGTACTCAGAAGTCTCCTCTCCCCTGCTCAGTGCCTTTGGAGTGTACTCAGAAGTCTCCTCTCCCCTGCTCAGTGCCTTTGGAGTGTACTCAGAAGTCTCCTCTCCCCTGCTCAGTGCCTTTGGAGTGTACTCAGAAGTCTCCTCTCCCCTGCTCAGTGCCTTTGGAGTGTACTCAGAAGTCTCCTCTCCCCTGCTCAGTGCCTTTGGAGTGTACTCAGAAGTCTCCTCTCCCCTGCTCAGTGCCTTTGGAGTGTACTCAGAAGTCTCCTCTCCCCTGCTCAGTGACTTTGGAGTGTACTCAGAAGTCTCCTCTCCCCTGCTCAGTGACTTTGGAGTGTACTCAGAAGTCTCCTCTCCCCTGCTCAGTGCCTTTGGAGTGTACTCAGAAGTCTCCTCTCCCCTGCTCAGTGCCTTTGGAGTGTACTCAGAAGTCCCCTCTCGCCTGCTCAGTGCCTTTGGAGTGTACTCAGAAGTCTCCTCTCCCCTGCTCAGTGCCTTTGGAGTGTACTCAGAAGTCTCCTCTCCCCTGCTCAGTGCCTTTGGAGTGTACTCAGAAGTCTCCTCTCCCCTGCTCAGTGCCTTTGGAGTGTACTCAGAAGTCTCCTCTCCCCTGCTCAGTGCCTTTGGAGTGTACTCAGAAGTCTCCTCTCCCCTGCTCAGTGCCTTTGGAGTGTACTCAGAAGTCTCCTCTCCCCTGCTCAGTGCCTTTGGAGTGTACTCAGAAGTCTCCTCTCCCCTGCTCAGTGCCTTTGGAGTGTACTCAGAAGTCTCCTCTCCCCTGCTCAGTGCCTTTGGAGTGTACTCAGAAGTCTCCTCTCCCCTGCTCAGTGCCTTTGGAGTGTACTCAGAAGTCTCCTCTCCCCTGCTCAGTGCCTTTGGAGTGTACTCAGAAGTCTCCTCTCCCCTGCTCAGTGCCTTTGGAGTGTACTCAGAAGTCTCCTCTCCCCTGCTCAGTGCCTTTGGAGTGTACTCAGAAGTCTCCTCTCCCCTGCTCAGTGCCTTTGGAGTGTACTCAGAAGTCTCCTCTCCCCTGCTCAGTGCCTTTGGAGTGTACTCAGAAGTCTCCTCTCCCCTGCTCAGTGCCTTTGGAGTGTACTCAGAAGTCTCCTCTCCCCTGCTCAGTGCCTTTGGAGTGTACTCAGAAGTCTCCTCTCCCCTGCTCAGTGCCTTTGGAGTGTACTCAGAAGTCTCCTCTCCCCTGCTCAGTGCCTTTGGAGTGTACTCAGAAGTCTCCTCTCCCCTGCTCAGTGCCTTTGGAGTGTACTCAGAAGTCTCCTCTCCCCTGCTCAGTGCCTTTGGAGTGTACTCAGAAGTCTCCTCTCCCCTGCTCAGTGCCTTTGGAGTGTACTCAGAAGTCTCCTCTCCCCTGCTCAGTGCCTTTGGAGTGTACTCAGAAGTCTCCTCTCCCCTGCTCAGTGCCTTTGGAGTGTACTCAGAAGTCTCCTCTCCCCTGCTCAGTGCCTTTGGAGTGTACTCAAAAGTCTCCTCTCGCCTGCTCAGTGCCTTTGGAGTGTACTCAAAAGTCCCCTCTCGCCTGCTCTCACTCACGCCATGCATACAGGACGCACAGACCACTCTCGACCACTCTCCGCCACTCACCACCACGTTCTCTTTGCCAAACTCCTTCTGCAGTTGAGCAACCACATCATCCACCCTCTCCCCTGCTCTCACATAAGACAAAGACGAGAAAGGGAAAGAAGGCAAGCAAAGACAAAAGGGCAAAGACGGAAATTCAGGCCCTCCGATATGAATTTTCAGGGCATCAGCATTTTGGCTTTTCAGTCAACTCAAAAGTCAACGGGAGTCAACTCAAAAGTCAACGGGTCCTGAAAGCAGGGCAAGGTTGCAACGCAAGCACACCATTGCGTTCCTGGGTTCTCAACCACGTACCACCACACACAACCGCACACGTTACTCCTCTCACCTTGTCGTGAGCACACGACGACTCTGTGTGTTCAACCACACACCACCACACGCCACCGCACTTCACTACTCTCTATTCCTCTCACCTGATCGCGAGCACACCATGACTCTGTCTCCCGCCCTCAGGAAGTCGCGCGGCACCAATGCCAGATCACAAACACACTGTGTTCAACCACGCTCCACCGCACAACACCACACTCCAACGCTCTCACCTGATCGTGAGCACACCACGACTCTGTCTCCCGCCCTCAGGAACTCACGCACCAATGCCAGGCCGATGCCTTGAATGGGGAGGAAGGGTGGAGGAAACACGCAAGGATACGAAAATACAAGGGGCAGCAAATAGGAACACAGGGACAAACTAACTAACCACCACCATTACCACGACGACTCTGTCTCCCGCCCTCAGGAACTCACGCCCCAATGCCAGGCCGATGCCTTGTATAGGTGGGGGAGAGAGGATATGGGGTTGGGGAGAATGGGGGGGAGGGGGAAGCAGGCAGTGGGAAGACAAATAAGAACCCAAAAGCACCACCACCACCGCCACCACCACCAGCACGACTCTGTCACCCGCCGTCAGAAGCTCGCGCACCAATGCCAGGCCGATGCCTTGGGGATGGGAGAGGGGGGAGAGGAGGGGGGAAGGGGGAAATAGGCAAGGGGGAGCAAATGAGTAACACGGATCACGTCATTCAGAGATCACCACCACGATCCCCAACGACTCTGCCGCCCGCCCTCAGAAACTCGCACACCAATGCCAGGCCGATGCCTTGGGGATGGGAGAGGAGATGAGTGGAATGTAGGGAGGGGGGAAAGAGGGAAAAGGAGGAGGGGAGGGGAGGGAGGGGAGGGGAGGGGACGGGTGAGGATGGTGGAGGGAGAAGAAGGGGACAAGAAGGGCAGAGAATTTGGGTGGAGAATTGACTCCTTAGTGGCCGCTTGTTATCGAGTCCAAACGCGATGCAGCCCCTGTCGTAATGGTGAGCCCATTCAAACCAAGCTACAGACGGCGGGCCTAACCTTTAGTCGATCCCGTAACGACGACGTTGTACGACTTGCCAACTCCCGCGCCGCCGCCAGGAGTCGCCGCTGTGGCAGGCTTGTCGCTCACGGCTGAGGCGACGACGCGAAGCGCCGTCGCTCGGCGGTCGCACGCGCCCGCATTCGTCGCAGGCGCCACGGGAATGCGACGAGAGGCGAGCGACGAAGGAAGCGGCTGACCGCGTGCGACGAACGCCGTCGAAGGACCAACACGTTTTTGCCACGTGGCAGGCGACGCCAGGCTCGAGGGAGTAGCGGCTTTCGCGGAGATTGCTGCGAGCGAAGCGTTGATGGTGGCGGCCATGGTGGCGGAATTGGCGCAGACCAAAATGCTGAGCTCTCTACTTGCGCGATAAACCACAACTGAAAAGATATCCGCGAGAGGGATTGTGCTGCGAATGAAAAATACAGCATATACGCGTTACAGCTAGCTCGCTTTCGTTAACTGCGTCAGGGTGAGAACATACGCCTTAATGAATTTGTAGAATTTCCTTACAGCCAATTTGCTGATGATTAAAAAGGCGAAATTACTTTCGGCAGCTTATTTCTCTAACCAGCACAAGACACTAGAAACTAGAAGCCAGCGCCAGACATTCCAGATGAATTACCCAAATACTTTTCTAAGAAGCAACAGGTTTGCATCTCAGAGCCTAGAAGCCTGCGCCAGACACCTTCTCGCCGACAGTCTGGCCGTACTGCGGCCCGCCGCTGCGATAAGCAAAGAGGTAGTCAATTGTGAGGCCCGTGAGCGGGTGCGGGATGATCCCAAGGTCCTTGAACGTGAGCGCTGGGGGGCGGGGGGGGGGGGGAGGGGGAGAAAGACCAAGGGAACAAGTATTTAGGTTCAGTGACCAGACGCCAGCGCCAGACACCTTCTCGCCGACAGTCTGGCCGTACTGCGGGCCGCCGCTGCGATAAGCAAAGAGGTAGTCAATTGTGAGGCCCGTGAGCGGGTGCGGGATGATCCCAAGGTCCTTGAACGTGAGCGCTGGGGGGCGGGGGGGGGGGGGGGGGGGAGGGGGAGAAAGACCAAGGGAACAAGTATTTGGGTTCAGTGACCAGACGCCAGCGCCAGACACATTCTCGCCGACAGTCTGGCCGTACTGCGGCCCGCCGCTGCGATAAGCAAAGAGGTAGTCAATTGTGAGGCCCGTGAGCGGGTGCGGGATGATCCCAAGGTCCTTGAACGTGAGCGCTGGGGGGAGAAGGGTGGGGGAAAAGACAAGAGTGGGACGCAAAGAGACTGTAAATGAGGTAGTGAAGACAAGGAAGGGCGGACAAGGTAAGCAAAGAGATAGTTGATTGTGAGGGCTGTGAGAGCTTGTTTTTGAGAAGTCTAAAAAACCAGGTCCGTGAGAGGGTGCGGGATGATCGCAACGTTGTTGAAAGTGAGCGCTGTGAAGAGGGGGAACGGGGAGAAGGCCAGAGAGGGACGCAAAGACACAGTTACTGAGGACGGGAGGAGGACTGCGTTTTTTTTTCACCAGTTTTCACTGTTTGTTCCTTTGCTTAAGCGTCCTCTCTGCTACTGCAGCCCTTCGAAACATGAGTCAGGGTGACCCCTGGGACGCAAAGACACAGTTACTGAGGACGGGAGGAGGACGAGACGATGTGGGGGAAGGAGAGGGAGTTGATGTAATCGACCATGAAGATGGTTGGGCTGGGGATAAACGTTGCAAGGTGTTGTGAAATGCCTCCTCCCGCAGATGATACGAGGCTTACTGTCGGGCTTTGGAAGCCCAGAACAAGATACCAAGAGAGTGTGGGCGTACCGTTGGGCGAGACAATGTGGGGGAAGGAGAGGGAGTTGATGTAGTCGAGCGTGAACATGGTGGGGCTGGGGATGGGCGTTGGCACGCGGTGGAGGAGAAACTCCCGTGGGGTGGCGAGGGCCTAAGGGGGGGGGGGAATAGAGGGTGCAGAAGGGGAGGTATGGGGGGGGGAGGAGGGAATGGGGAGGGGAATAGGCAGGAGCCATGGGAATCATGGGCGTCCTGAGCATCCATGGGCGGTGGAGTGGGAAATCCAGTGGGATGGCGTCCGTGGGAAATCCCACTCCATGCACAAAGCATCCATGCACCCACCCAAGTGAAAAGAAGTGGGATGCTGCGAAATGAAGAGTGCTGAGGAGAGTGCTCAGCTACTCATTGCCCCACCCACCACCTGCACCACTCGCCATCTTATGTACACCATGTCAGAATGTTATCTTATGCTCTAGCCTGTAGTGGGGTGCTCTATAGCGAGTACAACCCTTCTAGGGTTTCCTATTTGTATCCCCATTCTTGCTAGTGCAATCCTTCTTCTTTCTTCTAACTTTCACACACCACTCCTCAACCTATTTGCACCGCGCACTCACCCGGGCGACAGGAAGAGGGACGCTGAGAATGGAGGAGTGCTGGCGAATGGTTTCCAAGACACGGTTCACCTGTGAAGGGGAGAAGGGAGAAGGGAGAAGGGAGAAGGGAGGGAGGGAGGAAGGAGAGGGGAAGGTGGGAGGAGGAGGGAGGGGGCAGGGGAGGAGAAGGAGGAGGGACGCTGAGAATGGAGGAGTGCTGGCGAATGGTTTCCAATTCACAGTGCAGCTGTGCGCAGGTGCTGCCTGCTGCTACCACCATCAAGTACAGGTGTTGAATCCAGACTCACCAGGTCCCTGATTTGCAGCACCTCTGGTCCCCCCAGCTCGTACGTTTACCCACACAGCTACTGCGGTCATCAGTACCCTGTTATGACTGAGGCTCTACCAGTTCGTACAATCCAATCCTAAACGCCTTACAGCCCGGCTGTTGCAACTCAACTCACCAGGTCCCTGATTTGCAGCACTTCTGGCCCACCCAGCTCGTACGTTTGCCCGCAGCTGCTGCCGTCGTCAGTCACAGTGGCATTGACTGCTGTTGCCACGTCCAACACGTATACCGGCTGAATGCTGGTGGGGAAAAAAGGGGGAAAGGTGAGAAATAGAAGGGATGAGTTGAAACATTGACATCAGCTGCTGCCATAATCAGTGACGGTGGCGTTGACTGCTGTTGCCACGTCCAGCACATATACCGGTTGGATCCCGGTTGGGGGTGGGGGGCAAGGAAAGAGGGGGAGGCGAGGGCAAGGATAAGAGAGGGCTTGCAAACACCAAGGGTAACAGGCGCTGCCATGGTCAGTGACGGTGGCGTTGACTGCTGTTGCCACCTGCAGCACTTACACTGGCTGGATACTGGTGGGGGAAAAGGGAGGGGAGGATATCATATATATATATATATATGTGTGTGTGTGTGTGTGTGTGTGTGTGTGTGTGTGTGTGTGTGTGTGTGTGTGTGTGTGTGTGTGTGTGTGTGTATGGGAAGGAGGCCAAGACTAATGTGGTGTTGACTGCTGTTGCCAACACGTGCACGGGTTGAATGCTGGTGGTGGGGAGAGAGGGAGTACAAGGGGAATTTATGTACAGAATAAGTTAATGTGTGGTTTCTGGAATTGAAGTCTCTTGTCGCCTGCTATAACGGGACAAACTGGGAATCAATCTACATCGTAACGCCATCAACAGTGTATTTCCCCTGTTATAACGGGGACAAACTATGAATCTACACTATAACGCCACTTACAGAGTCTTGCCGCCTGCTATAACGGGGACAAACGGGAACTTCTTGGCCATGAGCGCCCAGCTGTTGAGCAGGCGGTCCTCCGTGCCTGCCAAGGGACCAGTCCGCAGGATGGTGGCCTGGTGGTAAGGGTGCACAGAGGAAACACGAGTTGAGTGAAGGGAGGAGCAGAAGAGGGTACGAGCTTTTTCCCCTTGAGCGCCCAGCCCAGCTGTTGAGCAGGCGGTCCTCCGTGCCTGCCAGCGGACCAGTCCTCAGAATGTGGCCTGGTGACAGGGGCAAGGACAGGGGAGGGAAAGGGGATGGAGACGTGGCGGTGTGGAGACACAGGGCAGGCAGAGGACAAAGCTTCTTCGCCATGAGCACCGAAATTGACCATGGCTCATGGTGCTTCTGAACTATCGCCTTACTTTGTGAGAGTCCTACTCCCAGAGAGTCACAAACCCCAACTTCACCCCTTGGGCCCCACCCTACTCGCCTGTGGTTGTGGAGATTCAGCCAGTACAGCCACCTCTCCCAGCGCCTTGGTGCTGCTTGGAGGGCGCGTGGGGAGCAGACAAGGATATGACTCCCTAAACCCAAGACCATGAACCTGACCCAAGAACCCCCCTTGAACTGACTGACAGTATTAAGCCCTCAAACCACTCACCTGTGGGAACTCCACAGCTGCCTCCCCCAGTGCCTTGGTCTGGTGCTGCTTGGAGGGCGCGTGGGGAGCAGCGCCCATGCAGGACGGGGGCATTACTCCCTAAACCCTAGACCCTGAACCTGAACAGCGAACCCCCCTAGATAGAAACGAGCGTGAAAAGCCCTCACACCACTCACCTGTGGGAATTCCGACAATACTGCTGCCTCCCCCAGCGCCTTGGTCTGGTGCTGCTTGGAGGGCGCGTGGGGGGCAGCGCCCAGGCAGGAGAGGTGGACCATCCTTGCAATGCCGCCATGCTCCCTGGCGATCTGACAAAAAGAGAATGCGGGAAGGGGGAAATGAGTGGAGGAATAAGAGTGAGGGGAGCAGCGCCCGGGCAGGAGAGGTGGACCATCCTTGCAATGCCGCCATGCTCCCTGGCGATCTGACAAAAAGAGAATGCGGGAAGGGGGAAATGAGTGGAGGAATAAGAGTGAGGGGAGCAGCGCCCGGGCAGGAGAGGTGGACCATCCTTGCAATGCCGCCATGCTCCCTGGCGATCTGACAAAAAGAGAATGCGGAAAGGGGGAAATAAGTGGAGGAATAGGAGTGAGGGGAGCAGCGCCCGGGCAGGAGAGGTGGACCATCCTTGCAATGCCGCCATGCTCCCTGGCGATCTGACAAAAAGAGAATGCGGGAAGGGGGAAATGAGTGGAGGAATAAGAGTGAGGGGAGCAGCGCCCGGGCAGGAGAGGTGGACCATCCTTGCAATGCCGCCATGCTCCCTGGCGATCTGACAAAAAGAGAATGCGGGAAGGGGGAAATGAGTGGAGGAATAAGAGTGAGGGGAGCAGCGCCCGGGCAGGAGAGGTGGACCATCCTTGCAATGCCGCCATGCTCCCTGGCGATCTGACAAAAAGAGAATGCGGAAAGGGGGAAATAAGTGGAGGAATAGGAGTGAGGGGAGCAGCGCCCGGGCAGGAGAGGTGGACCATCCTTGCAATGCCACCATGCTCCCTGGCGATCTGACAAAAAGAGAATGTGGGAAGGGGGAAATGAGTGGAGGAATAAGAGTGAGGGGAGCAGCGCCCGGGCAGGAGAGGTGGACCATCCTTGCAATGCCGCCATGCTCCCTGGCGATCTGACAAAAAGAGAATGCGGAAAGGGGGAAATAAGTGGAGGAATAAGAGTGAGGGGAGCAGCGCCCGGGCAGGAGAGGTGGACCATCCTTGCAATGCCGCCATGCTCCCTGGCGATCTGACAAAAAGAGAATGTGGGAAGGGGGAAATGAGTGGAGGAATAAGAGTGAGGGGAGCAGCGCCCGGGCAGGAGAGGTGGACCATCCTTGCAATGCCGCCATGCTCCCTGGCGATCTGACAAAAAGAGAATGTGGGAAGGGGGAAATGAGTGGAGGAATAAGAGTGAGGGGAGCAGCGCCTGGGCAGGAGAGGTGGACCATCCTTGCAATGCCGCCATGCTCCCTGGCGATCTGACAAAAAGAGAATGCGGAAAGGGGGAAATAAGTGGAGGAATAAGAGTGAGGGGAGCAGCGCCTGGGCAGGAGAGGTGGACCATCCTTGCAATGCCGCCATGCTCCCTGGCGATCTGACAAAAAGAGAATGCGGAAAGGGGGAAATAAGTGGAGGAATAAGAGTGAGGGGAGCAGCGCCCGGGCAGGAGAGGTGGACCATCCTTGCAATGCCGCCATGCTCCCTGGCGATCTGACAAAAAGAGAATGCGGGAAGGGGGAATTGAGTGGAGGAATAAGAGTGAGGGGAGCAGCGCCCGGGCAGGAGAGGTGGACCATCCTTGCAATGCCGCCATGCTCCCTGGCGATCTGACAAAAAGAGAATGTGGGAAGGGGGAATTGAGTGGAGGAATAAGAGTGAGGGGAGCAGCGCCTGGGCAGGAGAGGTGGACCATCCTTGCAATGCCGCCATGCTCCCTGGCGATCTGACAAAAAGAGAATGCGGAAAGGGGGAAATAAGTGGAGGAATAAGAGTGAGGGGAGCAGCGCCCGGGCAGGAGAGGTGGACCATCCTTGCAATGCCGCCATGCTCCCTGGCGATCTGACAAAAAGAGAATGCGGAAAGGGGGAAATAAGTGGAGGAATAGGAGTGAGGGGAGCAGCGCCCGGGCAGGAGAGGTGGACCATCCTTGCAATGCCGCCATGCTCCCTGGCGATCTGACAAAAAGAGAATGCGGGAAGGGGGAAATGAGTGGAGGAATAAGAGTGAGGGGAGCAGCGCCCGGGCAGGAGAGGTGGACCATCCTTGCAATGCCGCCATGCTCCCTGGCGATCTGACAAAAAGAGAATGCGGGAAGGGGGAAATGAGTGGAGGAATAAGAGTGAGGGGAGCAGCGCCCGGGCAGGAGAGGTGGACCATCCTTGCAATGCCGCCATGCTCCCTGGCGATCTGACAAAAAGAGAATGTGGGAAGGGGGAAATAAGTGGAGGAATAAGAGTGAGGGGAGCAGCGCCTGGGCAGGAGAGGTGGACCATCCTTGCAATGCCGCCATGCTCCCTGGCGATCTGACAAAAAGAGAATGCGGAAAGGGGGAAATAAGTGGAGGAATAAGAGTGAGGGGAGCAGCGCCCGGGCAGGAGAGGTGGACCATCCTTGCAATGCCGCCATGCTCCCTGGCGATCTGACAAAAAGAGAATGCGGGAAGGGGGAATTGAGTGGAGGAATAAGAGTGAGGGGAGCAGCGCCCGGGCAGGAGAGGTGGACCATCCTTGCAATGCCGCCATGCTCCCTGGCGATCTGACAAAAAGAGAATGTGGGAAGGGGGAATTGAGTGGAGGAATAAGAGTGAGGGGAGCAGCGCCTGGGCAGGAGAGGTGGACCATCCTTGCAATGCCGCCATGCTCCCTGGCGATCTGACAAAAAGAGAATGCGGAAAGGGGGAAATAAGTGGAGGAATAAGAGTGAGGGGAGCAGCGCCCGGGCAGGAGAGGTGGACCATCCTTGCAATGCCGCCATGCTCCCTGGCGATCTGACAAAAAGAGAATGCGGGAAGGGGGAATTGAGTGGAGGAATAAGAGTGAGGGGAGCAGCGCCCGGGCAGGAGAGGTGGACCATCCTTGCAATGCCGCCATGCTCCCTGGCGATCTGACAAAAAGAGAATGCGGGAAGGGGGAATTGAGTGGAGGAATAAGAGTGAGGGGAGCAGCGCCCGGGCAGGAGAGGTGGACCATCCTTGCAATGCCGCCATGCTCCCTGGCGATCTGACAAAAAGAGAATGCGGAAAGGGGGAAATAAGTGGAGGAATAAGAGTGAGGGGAGCAGCGCCCGGGCAGGAGAGGTGGACCATCCTTGCAATGCCGCCATGCTCCCTGGCGATCTGTGAAAGGAGTAGAGGGGAAAGAGGGAAAGAGGGAAAGAGCGAGAAGAGTGGAAGAATTGGAGTGCGGGGGGCGGAGCCCAGGCAGGAGAGGTGCACCAGGCGTGTGATTCCCCCATGCTCCCTGGCGATCTGATGAAGGTGTAGGGGGAAAGAGGAAAAAAAGTGCACATGGAAAGCGGGAAAGGGTGGTAAGTTGAGTGGAGGTATGAGAGTGCGGGGGGCAGTGCCCAGGCAGGGAAGGTGCAGCAGAGCAGGCGTGCGATGCCCCCATGCTCCCTGGCGATCTGGCAGAGGAATGGGGGTTGGTTTGAAAGAAGGGGAAGGAGCGTCATCTTGTCTCACCCTGGCAATGCGCTGAGGCACTGAGGTGTTGATGTCCTCGCGCTGAGGCACTGAGGTGTTGATGTCCTCGCGCTGAGGCACTGAGGTGTTGATGTCCTCGCGCTGAGGCACTGAGGTGTTGATGTCCTCGCGCTGAGGCACTGAGGTGTTGATGTCCTCGCGCTGAGGCACTGAGGTGTTGATGTCCTCGCGCTGAGGCAATGAGGTGCTGATGTCCTCGCGCTGAGGCACTGAGGTGTTGATGTCCTCGAAGCTGAAGTTGACTCATACAGCCCAGGTCAATGAAGGTCAACACAAGTCAACGCAGGTCACTCAGGTCAACTCAGGCCAACTCAGGCCAGCTCCAATCTCCAAGTCAGCTCACCCTGGCAATGCGCTGCGGTGCAGAGATGTTGATGTCCTCGAAGCTGAAGTTGCGCGTCTCAAAGTCACGGCCTGGGTGGGGTGGGGAGCAGAGGAGGAAAGGAAATGGGAGCAGAGAGGGGGAGGGAGGAGGGGAGGAGATAGGCGCTGAGATGTTGATGTCCTCACAGCTGAAATTGCGCTTCTCAAAGTCACGACCTGGGTGGGTGGGGTAGGGAGGAAACGAGGGAGTGCAGATGAGACAAAGAGGGGAGACGAGGAGAGAGGAGAGGGGCCAGAAGAGAGGGCAGGAGAGGCATGAGCAAATGTTTGCTTCAACGTATATGGTTATTTATGTTCCATATATTTATATTAAGATGCATACAAGAACTCGAATTCGAAGACATGTTGAGAACACATCCACCACTGACCAATGAGGTTGATGACAACATTCGACTTGGCAATAGCCGCAGCAATGCTCTCATCGCTCCTAACGTCAAACGGCATGGGCACCACCTGGTGAGAAAGGGCGGGAGAAGAAAAGGGTAAGGTACGCGGGAAAGGGCGGGAGAAGGAAAGGGTAAGGGACGCGGGAAAGGGCGGGAGAAGGAAAGGGTAAGGGACGCGGGCAATGGAAGATCGGTACAATGGGGACCACCTGATCAAGAAGAGAGGCTCAGGAGGAAGGAGAGACGGAACATAGGTATATATAAGGAACGCGTGAATGACAGCCGAACAAGCGATCCCAGCAGCAATGCTTCAAATCAACCTGCCCCAGACCTCGGCTCACCTGCCCCATACCTCACCAGATCTTGCCTGCCCCATATCCCACCTGCCCGAGGTCGCCACACAGCTTGAGGTGCCTGTGGTCGTCCTCCAGGCTCCTGACTCACAGCCCACCTAGCCCATATATTACCTTCCCCCTCATCCCACCTGCCCCATATCCCACCTGCCCGAGGTCCCCGCACAGCTTGAGGTGCCTGTGGTCGTCCTCCAGGCAGCGATAGGGCACCATACCCCTGTCCCATACCCCACCCGGCCCCAGTTCAACCTGCCTCACGTGTCACCTTCCCCATGCCTCACCTGCCCCAGGTCCCCGCACAGCTTGAGGTGCCTGTGGTCGTCCTCCAGGCAGCGATAGGGCACCATCACCTGGGAACCCGAGCGGGCTGCGAGGGAGAAAGAATGAGAGGGCAGGAGAGGAAGGGGAGGGAGGGGAATTATACGGAGGGGATATACAAGGATTCGAAAGAGGTGCCTGTGACCATCCCCCAGGCAGCGGTAGGGTACCATCACCTGGGAACCCGAGCGGGCTGTGGGGGGAGAAGGAAAGATAGTGGAGGCGGGGAGACGGCGGCGGGTGGGTTGATGACAGGACTGAAGGGAACGAGCGGAAAAGGGAAACAAAGGCGATGGCAGATGACAGGGCACCATCCATTGCGACTTCAGATTCGAATCTGAAGATTGCACAATCGAAGGACAAAGATTGTTGCTTCACCTTGTAAGATCTCTCCACTTGTAAGTGGACTTATGAGTCGACTCAAAAGTCGATGGGACAAAGACTGTTGCATGATCTCTCCACCTTGTAAGTGCTTCACTCACCTAACTGCTGCACCACGTATCTCCCAAGAGAGCCCGTGGCGCCAAACACAGTCGCAACCATGCCACTGCAGGGAGTACCAAACCAGCTACCAGAAGTTTTATAGTAAGGGTTTCTCTTACCTAACTGCTGCACCACGTATCTCCCCAGAAAGCCCGTGGCGCCAAACACAGTCGCAACCATGCCACTGCAGGGAGGGAATTTCAAATTACGCATGCAGGGGGGGTGGGGGCAAGGGGGAGGAAGGGTGAGGCGGGGGTAAAATATCAGACAGGCAGGCATCACGTGATAGAAGATTGATTTGACTTTTGAGTCGACTCAAAAGTCACCTAGGAAGGGTGAGGCGGGGGTAAAATATCAGACAGGCAGGCATCACGTGATAGAAGATTGATTTTGAGACGCCTCAAAACCAATCTTTAAACACGTGCTGGGGGAGAGCTAGCAGCAAGCAGGTCCTTAAAGAAAAACGAGAATGTAGAATATCTTGATACTCATACAGACAGTCAGGAATCAACTTTGAGTCGACTCGAAAGTCGCTGCAGACGCGGCGAGCTCACCTGACGGACGAGCGACCGCCAGGGCCGCGCAAACAACGGGAAAAGAGGCAGTCTTGGCTGTAGCTTGAGACTCGCCGCTCACCTGACGGACGAGCGACCGCCAGGGCCGCGCGCGGCGACGCTGCTGCGAACCGCGAGTGACGTCGCAGTGCGGCTGGCGATGGATGGAGACAGATCGCCAGCGCTGCTGCTGACAGCGGAGGTCCCTGCGAGTCGAGAATGCGGGGAGAGAGATAGGGCTGAGGAATGGAGGACGGCGGAGGACGTGACAGTGCGAAACCCTTCGCAGTGCTTTCGCAGTGCTTTGCTGCCTTTCACCCTTCCCTTGTACTGCGGACGGCGGAGGGCGTTCCATTGCGAAAGTACTGAGCTGTATCTCACGGGACAATCAACAAGGAAACGCCATCTTCAGAATAAGCTACAATTCACCCGAACCTGTCTATTCCGGATCTATTCCGGATCGTCAACAAAACCGAGCGTCATCTTCAGAATAAGCTACAATTCACCCGTTTATCAGATGACTCTAGAGGCGCCTCGAAACCCGGATCGCCATCAAAGACGCGCGTCTATGAGATCGCGACATCAAATCGTCTCATCCGTTCGTCCCATGAGATCGTCCAATCAAAGTCTATCCGGGCTTAACATGAACGGCCACTAACGGGAGAACCACTCAGTGCCTCCCCACGACTTGAAGGCCGAGTTAACAATACAAGAACTAAGTCTTGGCATTGTTTCCCATGCACACACACGAGTGAGAAATCTCGCGGCTTTGTAAAGTCGAGTGACAGATATCGAATGGACTATCGAGCTGGTTCCGGATCGTCTCACCATGACCATCCACGAGCGGGAACACACGCAGCGCTGACGACGCCAGTAACCGCGCGAATCCCGAGGCTTGCCTTCGCGACAGCATGGCTACAATCGAGACGGCCTATAACGGAGAGTCCGCGAGGCGAGAATGACTGGAAGGACGAGGCGAGCGACGGCAGTCCAAGCTGGGTGGTGAGTGAGAGGTGTTGACGTCAGGCCACGAAGCGCAGAGATCAATCGCGGATTCCCGCTTGTGATCGCTCCAGGAGCTCAGGATACGATCTGGCTCCACGGAGAGAAAAGCGGCAAGCCCACTAATGGGCTTTCTACTGACCTAGAAGCGATCTAGGGTTGAAAGGCTACTGTATTTCCATCATCGACATACAGGCGCATATGGAATAACCAAGGTGGAGGGCGTATTCCTCAATGTTGGGCTCGTGTTTCACCTCGGGTCAGGGTAGCAAACCGCATGTGCTATGAGATTGCGTAGGTTTCACGAGATGAAATGCACTCAAAGTCGGAACCACGGAATGTCCTATGAAATGTTTCAACCGAGGGATCGTCGCTTGACCAAGTCGTCACTTGGACCAGGTGCTCGCTTTGACCAAGTCGTTAATTGGATCAATTACTCGCTCGGACCAAGTCGTCGCTTGGACCAGGTGCTCGCTTGGACCAAAATTGTCACTACAACCATGTGATCGTCGTTGCTTGGACCAGGTGCTTGCTTGGACCAAGTTGTCGCTTGGACAATGCGCTCGCTTGGACCGAGTGCTCGCTTACACCGAGTGCTCGCTTACGCCAAGTGCTCGCTTGGATGGAGTCCTCCTTTGGACCAGGTTCTCGCTTGGACCAAGGCGTCACTTGGATCAGATGCTCGCTTGGACCAAGTCGTCACTTGGACCAGGTGCTCGTGGACCAAATCGTCACTTGGACCAGGTGCTCGCTTGAACCAAGGCGTCATTTGGACCAAGTGCTCGCTTGGACCAAGTCGTCGTTTGGGCCAGGTGCTCGCTTCGACCGAGTCGTCGCTTGGACCAGGTGCTTGCTTGGACCAAATTGTCACTATAACCATGTGCTCGCCGTCGCTTGGACCAGGTGCTTGCTTGGACCAAGTCGTCGCTTGGACAATGCGCTCGCTTGGACCGAATGCTCGCTTGGACCGAGTGCTCGGTTGGACCGAGTGCTCGCTTGGACCAAGTGCTCGCTTGGACCGAGTCGTCACTTGGACCAGGTTCTCGCTTGGACCAAGGCGTCACTTGGATCAGGTGCTCGCTTGGACCAAGTCGTCACTTGGACCAGGTGCCGGTGGACCAAATCGTCACTTGGACCAGGTGCTCGCTTGAACTAAGGCATCATTTGGACCAAGTGCTCGCTTGGACCAAGTCGTCACTTGGACCAAGTACTCGCTTGGACAAAGTCGTCGCTTGAACCAGGTGTTTGCTTGGACCAGGTGCTGGCTTGGACCAAGTCGTCACTTGGACCAGCGTTTCTAATCCCAGAACGCGAAAGGATCCGCACATGTGCAGGAAGTGCAGCGCGCGCTCTTTATTCGCGAGCGCCGATGACCGATGATGCTCGCAACCCTCCCACGCCCTTGCTGGCTTGGCAATAGGACCAGATTAGCGCAGTCACGTGACCCGGCGGAAGAAAAATGCTCGGAACGAGCGCTTCCACCCCAAAAACGCGGAAGGATCCGCATATGTGTAGGAAGTGCAGCGGGCGCTCATCATTCGCGAGCGCCGATGACCGATGATGCTCGCAACCCTCCCACGCCCTTTCAGGCTTGGTAATAGGCCCAGACAAGTGCAGCCACGTGACCCGGCGGAAGAAAAACGCTCGGAACGAGCGCTTCAACCCCCAAAACGCGGAAGGATCCGCACATGTGCATGAAGTACAGCGGGCGCTCTTCATTCGCGAGCGCCGATAACCGATGATGCTTGCAACCCTCCCACGCCCTTGCTGGCTGGGCAATAAGCCCACAAAAGCGTAGCCGCGTGACCCGGCGGAAGAAAAACGCTCGGAACAAGGGGCTTCCACCCCCAGAACGCGGAAGGATCCGCACATGTGCACGAAGTGCAGCGGGCGCTCTTCATTCACGAGCGCCAATGACTGATGATGCTCGCAACCCTCGCACGCCCTCGCTGGCTGGGTAATAGGACCAGACAAGCGCATCCGCGTTACACGGCGAAAGAAAAATGCTTGTAACGAGCGCTTCCACCCCCAAAACGCGGAAGGATCCGCACATGTGCATGAAGTGCAGCGGACGCTCTTCGTTCGCGAGCGCCGATGATCGATGATGCTCGCTGTTAGAGACTAAGGACGGAGTCTATGAAGATCAGGGACTGAATTAACACAAAATCGCTGGTCTATAACTCTGGCCAGAAACGTCAAATTCACAAGAAGCGTTGTCGACGAAAAGTCCCGCGTGAAAACTTCACCAAACTCAATTATGATGTAGCTGAGGAAAGTAGAACAAGAATGATTGACTAAGGAATGGAAGTGATACAAATATGCAACCCTAGAAATGTGTACCCCATATGGGCTACCCCACTATAGCCTACACAATATTATAATTTGACACACCCCCATAGGCAAAGTGGGGGAGAACAAGGGGTCACAAGACCAGTCAAGCAAAGCAGACAAAGCTCAAGGTGGATCACAACGTCACCACACAGTCCGAGCACAAGGTCAAGGCCACAAGGCCAGTTCACATGCAGGAGTACACATATATATAAGGCTAAAAAAGCAAGAGCAGGTATATATATATGTAAGAGTACAAGCAAGGTCAAGGGGTGAGCAAGTGAGGCAAGACAGGCACAAGACCCAGCTGAGTGCAGAAGCGCTGATGATCACAAGGCGGAAGTGCCTTGGTGAAGATATCAGCAGTGTTGGCCTCAGAGGCCACGTACGCAAGTCGCAACTGACCACGCTGCTGCAACTCACGAGCAAGAAAGTAGCGGAGAGCAATGTGCTTCGTTCTGTGCTCCAGGCGCTGCTCCCGACACAAGGCCAGCATGGCCTTGTTGTCTACGTACAGCACTGGAGGAGAACGAGGCGGCTCTCCGAGGTCAGTCAGCAGGTAGGTGAGCCAGCGAAGCTCCTGTGCAGCCATGGCCCCGGCGTAGATCTCAGCCTCACAACTGGAGCCGAGAACAGAAGACGAGCGAGTAGCCCGCCACGAAACAGAGCCGGAACCAAGGCTGAAGGTGTAACCCTGTGACGACCGCTGCGTAGCCTGGTCGTCAGCCCAAGAAGCGTCCGCGTCCCCAGTGAGGACCACTGGACTCTGCCCTCCAAGCACTAGCCCCATGCCCGACGTACTACACAAGTAGCGCAACACCCTCTTCGCTGCAGCCATGTGCTCTGGTCTGTGTCTCCCAGGAGCAACATAGCGTGCAAGAATGCTAAGAGGGTATGCAAGGTCAGGTCGTGTGCAGGTCATCAGGTACATGAGGCAGCCAACAAGCTCTGGGTACGGGCCACTTGACTCTACGGACTCATCCGAAGGCAGAGCTGAGAGCGAGTGGCGAGTAGACAGAGGAGTGGCCTGAGGCGAGGAGTACGTGAAGCCGAAGCGCTGAAGGACCTGCTGCACCATGTGTGACTGAGTCAAGGTAATGGTGCGGCGTGCTCTGTCCCGGGTGATCTGCAAACCAAGGTAGTTGCGCAGTTAACCCAGGTCTGTGCACGTGTGTCTCTTCTGCAGCTCGGACTTCACGTGGGCGAGTCCAGCAGTGTCAGCTGTGGCAAAGACCAAGTCGTCGACGTACACGAGGATGTAGAACGGCGGCAGAGAGGTGTCGGTGCGCAGAAACAACGACGGGTCAGCAGTAGAAGGAGCAAACCGAAGAGCCGCAAGCGTAGTCCTGAGTGTGTCGTGCCACTCGCGCGGTGCCTGGCGGAGACCGTAGACTGGCCGTCGGAGGCTCCACTGGGTGCCAGGAGGGAAAGTCCCAATGAAGCCAGGTGGACGGCGCAGCCAGATCTCCTCATGCAGGCTACCCTGCAGGAAAGCAGTGCTGAAGTCAAGGGAGTGGAGCTCGTAGTCACGCTGAGCGGCTATGTGTAGCAGCACCCGAAGAGTGGTCATCTTCGGGGTGGGAGAGAAGGTCTGAAAGTAGTCAACTCCCTGCCGCTGACTGAAGCCACGAGCCACGTACCGCGCCTTGAAGACAGGTGGAGAGCCCGGCGGCCGCTTCACCCTGAAGATCCACATGCCACTGACGATGTTCGCCCCAGGAGGAGGAACCGCGTCAACGTAGGTGCCTGTGGACTTCCAGGAAGCCATCTCTCCATCCATAGCTGCCTGCCACTGAGAGGAGTAGGGACCCTCTACGGCCTCCGCGTAAGAGCGCGGAGTCGGGATGTCTAGTGCATCCGGGTCTCCCTCAGAGGTAAGCAGTACGGACGCGAGATGAGGTGAAGCAGCAGCCAGACACTGGAGCTCCTCCTGCCTGTCCTCAAGGACGTCCGTGCCAAGAGCACACTCACCCCCGACGGACGGAGGACAGACAGACGCAGACTCAGCAACAAGACTAGCAGCGTAGTCTAGACGACAGCAAGCAGCAAAGTCAACGAGCTCAGCAACAAGAGCAGACGCAGCAGTGGACTCAAAAGAGGGGTCAGTGACGACAATAGTAAGGAGACGCGTGAAGGTAGTACTGGCAGCACGAAGGGAGTCCGACTCCGGGTCGGCAAGCGCAGGAAGAAAGGACTCAGGAGGAGAAGGCAAAGGGACACGCAGAGGAGCAGTGGACGGACGCAGAGACATCCGGTGCGTGCCAGGGACAGGAGGAGGACGCTGACGCGAACCGCTACGACTAGCGCGAGCAGCACGAACAGGCGACGCGGGACGAGACGCAGGCTCACGACGCTCAGCAAGACCTCTAGTAGGACCAGTGTAAGGAGAGGGAGCAGGCAGTGGGGAGGCGGGCGGTAACTGTGACTGTGACTGGACAGGCGGTGGACACTCTACAGGAGGAGAAGGACCAAGAACCTGCTGAAGGAGCGGAACGAAGTACGGCCGAGGCCGCGCGGCGACTCTAGACACAGCAGGGACAGCACCAGTACCCTCAGCGGCAGCACCAGCGTCAACAGCACCTC